CACACACACACACACACACACACACGAGAGGAGGGCACCCACCACAAACTCATGCAAGCTACCAAGTACCGTGCAGAGGTGCTGATGAGACCCAGGGAGAGTTGGATGATGTGGAAACATTTCCAGAAAAGCGGAGCTTGAGGCCAAGTTTAGATGTGGACATGTGGACCAGAGCATGATATAAGGAGATTCTTTACTATCAAAGGAACTATCTGGGCAACCTAAGCGCTTCTTCAGCAGACAAGGGTGGGGTTTCAGAACGCATTTCTCACAAGCCCCTAGGGCACATGCTCTACACACTGGCCCAGAGCTGGAGTCCACAGGTGGGATGCACATGGAAGCTGCAGCCAAAACCTTGGGAGAGGTGGAAGAAAGCCACTGGGAGGAAGCCAGCCTGGTGACCCTCTGGGATTGGCCCACAGGCACTGTCTGTGTCCTTTCCAAGAGCCCGGCCCCTGCTAATTCTGTTTACCCTGTGACTCAGCGCCATTGGGTCACAAAGACCACTTCAAAAGAACTTCCAGTAAAAATCACCCGAACAATAATGGAATGCGCCAGCCCTCCCAGGCCCCCTCCCACAGCCCATGGGGCCCAAGAGAGATGGAAGCGCACCCCCAACACACCCCTTCCATTCACCTGGAGCTTGTAAAGGCCCTGGTGACTCACGCTTCCTCTTCGTGAAGCCCACAGTGGCTGAAGGAACTTGTTCCAGCCTTGAACCAGCACACAGAGTTCTCCCTGTCCTCCAGAAGGGCCCAGGCAGAAAGGCAGAGAGCTGACAGCTCATGGTCACGGGGAGGCCAGCACCCCCTACCTCAATCCCCAGGGAAAGGGGAGGGAGAAAGAAAGCTGCTACTCTCTGGACTCTGGGGTCCCTGAAGACAGAGCAGGAAGTGCTGCCTGGGCCCCAGGAGGACAGTCACTTTCAGGGCACCTGCCACATCCTGCCACCCTCCTCCAGTTCACACTGAGGAACCACAGCCTACAGCAGAATGACCAAAGGTGCCCAATCGCTCCCGGACTCGCACGTGTCAGCCAGGTTTCTAACACGTGCCCCCAGCCTAGCATGGCACTGAGCCAGGTTCGGGAGAAAGAATGGCAAGCCAGGGGCTCAAGAGCCTGGAGGCTACTCATCTGCTGTGAGTAACCTTCAGAAGAAGGCCCTTCTCTCTGAGCCAAACAGTAATGACTGCAACACAGCTGGGGCCAACCTGCCTGGAGTCAGCTCCCAGCCCAGCCCCTTATTAGCTGTGTGCCATTAGGGAAGTCACTCTGCCTCTCTGTCCTTCCACATACTTATCAGTAAAATGGGATGATAGAAGTGCTTATCTCTTAGAGCTGTTTGAGGATAAACTGATTTAATGCAGGCTGAGTATCCCTAATCCAAAAATCCGAAATCCAAAAATCTCCAAAATCTGAAACTTTTTGAGTACTAACATGACACCACTGCAGAAAATTCCACACCTGACCTCATGTGATGGGCCAGTCAAAATGCAGGCACATGATACAGTTTATTCTGCTTCCTCAAAGGAAAAATAAAATTATCTTCACGCTATGTGTATATAAGGTGTATATGAAACGCGAATACATTTCCCATCTAGACTTGGGTCCCACTCCCAAGATATCTCATTATGTATATGAAAATATTCCAAAATCTGGAGAAATCCAAGACCCAAAAACACTTCTGGTTCCAAGGATTTCAGATAAGGGATATTCTGCCTGTTTGTGAAAAGTGATTGAAACAGCAGCTCAAATAGCTGGTACTCTTAAGCGTTAGCTGCTGTTATTATGGTCAGTCCAGACCTGCAGAGGGCCCTTCCAATTCTGCTGTTCAATTCCTCAATTACCTACATAGAAAGCTGTACTAGAGTGACAAGTCACACAATCCACAAGCAAACCGCTGCACTGTATATGGCACTCTCAAGAAAAATAATAGCAGCTAATAGGTACTAAGCACTACTGAGTGCTGTGACTGTGCTAAGTACTTTGCATGTATTGCCTCCAATAATTTCCATAACAACCCAGAGGTTGTCATTAGTCCCATTTCACAGAGGAAGAAACTAAGAGTTAGAAAAATTAGGCCGGGCGCGGTGGCTCACGCCTGTAATCCCAGCACTTTGGGAGGCCGAGGCGGGCGGATCATGAGGTCAGGAGATCGAGACCATCCTGGCTAACACGGTGAAACCCCGTCTCTACTAAAAATGCAAAAAATTAGCCGGGCGAGGCGGCGGGCGCCTGTAGTCCCAGCTACTCGGGAGGCTGAGGCAGGAGAATGGCGTGAACCCGGGAGGCGGAGCTTGCAGTGAGCCGAGATCGCGCCACTGCACTCCAGCCTGGGCGACTAAGCGAGACTCTGTCTCAAAAAAAAAAAAAAAAAATTAATTTGCTTAAGGTCGTGCTAGGGCTACTAAGAGTGTAAACAGGATACAAACCCAGGCAGTCTACCCCAGCGCCTGTGCTCTCAAATCCTACACACAATACTGCTGCCTGGCTCCACACAGAAGAGCAGTCAGAGAGGACTTCATGGAGGCAGGGGCCTGGAGCTGGCCCTGGAAGGTGGTGGCCTTGGATAAGCACATGAGAAGCCAGATTGGCTTGCAGGAGACAAGAGGCAGAACCCATTTCTCTGGAAGGGTAAGAAGTCTCAGAGCAGGGCTGGCTTGGGCCAAGGCTTCCCAGCCTCTATTCCCTGGGAATGGGCTCATCTCCTCCCTGCCTATCTCCCCACACCAAGACAGCACTCAACAGGCATTCTGAGCTGAGCCACTTCCACCCAAGTGGGAAGAAAGAGAAGAAGGAGCTGTGGCTTCATAGACCCCATTCCATACCCATGCCTGTGCTGGCTGCAGAGGGAAGTCGCAGGGTGTGGAGAAGCCTGCACTTGAGAGCCACTCAATTCTGTGAACTGCAGAGATGAGGAAGGAGGTGACAGCGTGAAAGTTGCGGAGTGCTATCACCTTTGGCAGAGCCCACCTTCTCTGTTTTAAAGACTTCCTGGGATGCTGGGGGAACAGAGGGCTCAGATCCTACTAGTGGGCTACTAGGAAGCCCGCTTACAGAACCATGCTCAGTTCTCAGGTGGGAAGAAAGGTGGCAGAAAAACAAAAAACAAAAAACAAAAACTACATTCAGGGCAGCCCTAGCCCTCCCTAGGGGCTCAGCCTCCTACCCTTTAAAAGCATGGCCCAAAGCTACAGACACTGAAACCCAAACTTGGAAGCAGACAAGGCCCAGTATTTCAGGGAGGTATAGGGTGACCATGGCCCTGGAATGGAGCAGCCACAGACACTGGCATGTCATCAAGGAAGTCCTGCTCATGTGTCTTATACGCCACCCAAGGGTGGGAAAACCCCACTCTCGGTTTGTAAGTTAAGATTTAATATTTGTTTTCCTCAACTGAGATAATGCTACAGTATTCTCCACCAAGTTTTAGAACAAGCAGCATCACTGTGCTACAAAAAAAAAAAAATTAGAGCAATGATGTGGATTCCCCGTTTCTGGTCATTGTAAGAACTGCTCATCCATCTTTAAAAGGTAAAGGTGGCCAGGTGAGGTGGCTCTTTGCCTGTAATCCCAGCACTGTGGGAGGCTGAAGCAGGAGGATCACTTAGGTCAGGAGTTCAAGACCACCCTGGGCAATATAGCAAGAACCCATCTTTTTTTTTTTTTTTTTTTTTTTTAAAAAACAGAGTCTCGCTCTGTCGCCCAGGCTGGAGTGGAGTGGCGCAATCCCAGCTCACTGTAACCTCTACCTCCCAGGTTCAAGCTATTCTCGAGCCTCAGCCTCCTGAGTAGCTGGGACTACAGGCACGCACCACCATGCCTGGCTATTTTGTATTTTTTAGTAGAGACAGGGTTTCACCATGTTGGCCAGGCTGGTCTCGAACTCCTTACCTCAACTGATCCACCCCAAAATGCTGGAATTATAGGCATGAGCCACCACAGCAGCTGACCCCATATTTTTTTTCAGAAAGAGGGAGGGAGGGAGGGAGGGAAGGAAGGAAGGAAAATAGAGGAAAAAAAAGGTAAAGGGGAGGGGGCATTGCCCAGACAATTGGAGATTTAACCTCAGTATGCAGTGAGATCTGTGTGGAGTGGCAGGAAGGAAGATGATGCTTGCTGAGCTCTCTGTCCATTCTTTTTTTTTTTTTCTTCAATTCTGTATTTTAAAATAAATAGAGACAAGGTCTCTCTTTGTTGCCCAGGCTGGTCTTGAACTTCTGGGCTCAAGCAATCTGCTCGCCTCAGCCTCCCAAAGTGCTGGGATTAAGGTTTGCGCCACTGCACCTGGCTTTTGTGTCTATTCCTTAACACATTCCCTAACCCCTTCCCACTGGACTTTTGAGGCCATTTATAAAATAATGAACTAAATTGCCTGAACCTGAGAAAACTCTCACATCAATTTGCCATCTGTGACTCCCCTCCCTTCCCCACCCAAAATGCCCCAAGGCAAAAATATGAAAAGAGGGAAAACAAAACATGTGCACCCAGAATTAATCATTCAGTACCATGCAAGACCCCTCACTCGCTAACTACTGGACTGGTTTTGGTCTTTTTCTGTACTTTTTTTTTTTCCTCTTTTAAGTGACAAGTGACAGGGATTTAAAAAAAAAAAAAAAAAAACTGGCACATGAAGGAAAGATGGAAGTTTGTTACATTTCGAGGGATGAAAAGAGTCCACAGTCGGATAGCCTGCTTGTCCTCACCAGCAAAGCACAGGCTCCTGGAGGCTTTGGGATGAGCACAAAGCCTGTGTCTGATGAAAGCCACCCTCTTTGTTCTGCCTCCCTTCACAGCTGCCTGGCTGCAGGCTGGGGATGGGAGCAGGTAGGGAGGGAAAGCAGTGGGGAGACCTAAGACCATCAAACCTGACACCAGGTGGGAACACCTCTCAGTTCTTGCTTTCCATCACCAAAACCAAGCCCTGCTCCCTGCTGTCACTCCTGGCCAGGCTGAGACAGTTCTGCACCAAAAAGGCACAGGAGGAGGCCCAAAGAGGGTCTGATGAACTCGGCAGGAGGACGACGGGGCCATCGTGCTATGCCCTGGAAGGTGTGGGTGGAGGGGGGACAATGAACATAGCCAAGCCTGACAGCACCCGCAAGGCGAGGAGCACAGCTGAAGGAGCGGAGCAGGGCCAGTCGCAGCACCTCTGCCCCACCACCCTGATAGCACATGCCACACCAAACCCAGACACGAAATCTGAGCAGCACGGGCACCCAAGGGGCAGCCACGCCTCCATTATGCTCCAGCCGGACATCCCCCGGGGGCCATGTCTGCCCTGGAATAAACTTCCAATAAGCCCCAGAAGTCAGACAGGCAGGAAGCAGCTCTCTGAAATGCACCAGGCACCCCCGGCTCCCTCCTGCTCTGGCCCGGCACTCAGTTTCCACCAGTCAGTAAATGGAGAAGAGGCTGCCTCCCTCCCACACTGGATGGAGCGCATACCTTGCAGAGTACACTACCCTCCACCCTCTCAGGGCAACTGTACCAAGGCAGGCTCTGCATCGGACCGGCTGGCTCAGGCCTGCCACTCGCCAGTTGTGAGACGTCAAATAAGTTGCTTCTACTTTCTGTGCATCTCCTCATTTATAAACATAGGAAGAATAATAGGTGATGAGAACAGAATGAGCAAAGAGAGGGAAAGCCCTTAGAACAGAGCCAGGCACACAGCAAGCAATCCACAAACACCAGCTCTCGTTACTGTTATCCTCTCGCAGGCTCCTAAGGAAGGCAGGGCATAGGGTGGCCTCTGCAGTGTACACAGACGGTAGATGCTATGGACGGGACCTGGAGGACAGTCACCCAGCCTTCTCTTGACTTCTGGAATGTTTTGCTCATAGAAGCTCTGCACTGAGTATTCTGTGTACCTCCCATAACCATCTCCCTCAAGAGCTAATGCCCCCCCCCTCACGCCAGCCATGAGTGTCGCCTCTCAATACCTGAATACAGCCCTATCTATGCCTGTGGATAAGAAGGCTTCCTCTCCCCTCCCACCATTCCACGTGGCCATGGCAATTTCAAGCCATCCCCAGTATGCCTTGTGATTTCCGTTTCTCTGGTGGTTCACAAAGAACAAACCAGAATGCTCACGGTGTGCCTGGAATCACACCAGGCTTGCACCTCCACTCATCCAGTCCTGGCTCCCACCACCCACACACAGACATCAGTCAGTGCCCTGTAAAAGATGCTACTCATTGGTGGGCATGTCTGTCCCCGGAAACACAAGGCCCATTCATTCACCAAACGCTGGGTGAATGCTGGGTGAAGTACTGGGACGCAGCAGGAAGCAAGATGGACAAATCCCTGCCCTCATGGAGCTCACATGAACAGGGTGACAGGGGTGGGGGAGAAATAAACAAACATAAACTGTATTGGGTAGTAAGTGCTATGAAGAAAAATGTGGCAGAGTTAAATGGTAGGTGGTGAGGGTGGAGAGGAGATGTGGCTACTGTACAGTGGTGGCAGGGGTCTCTCTGGGCAGGTCATCTTTCCCCAGCGACCTAGAGGAAGTGTGGAGTGCTAGAGGAAGGAATAGCAAGTGCAAAGGCCCTGGGGCCACCCCATGCGGGGAGACCTGTCTGCTGCAGGTGGAGGAACCTGCAGGAAGATGCAGATGAGGTCAGAGGGGCAACGGGACAGCTCCAGGCAGGACCTTATGGGCCACAGAGAGGAAGCAGGGCTTTACTCAGAGTGAGATGGGAAACCTCTGGAAGATTCTGAGTTGAGGAAAGCCATGATCTGACTTACATCTACCTAGGCTCATGAGATGCTTTGTTGAATGTGGTCCATAAGCAGGGAAGCACAGAAACAACTCAGACAGCAAACTCACAAGTCCAGGGGAGCAATTCTGGGGGCTTGGACCAGGGTGACAAGAATGGTGTTGGTGACAAGTAGCTGGATTTGAGGGATATTGTGGAGCTTTTCTTTCTTTCCTACTCCACATTTGGGTTGGAGCAGAGCTGAAAGGATCTGCTCACAGGCCCAATGTGGAATCAG